ATGCGCAGTTTACAGTAGGGTTCAAGCTCCTATGAAAATCTAATGTCATGGCTGATCTGATAAGAGGTAGAGCTTATGTGGTGATGCCAGCAATGAGGAGTGGCTGTAAATATAGATGAACCTTCTTTAGCTTGCTGCTTACCTCGTGCTATGCCAACTCGGTTCCTAACAGGCCACAGACTGGTACTGGTCTACTGATCTGCGGCCTAGGGGTTGGGGACAGCAGAACTAAGGCCAAGGGAAGAAGGAGGTGTGGTCAAATGTGTCAACGTTGTAGAAGAGGGAGGGAGTGAAAAGATTTAAAGTATCCTTTGGATAAAAACAGTTTTGGTAGAGTGGGTGGGGTGGAACCGGAGACTACTTAGTTTGGAGTGGGTTCAAGGTTCAGCAGAAGATAAGGAAATGAACTCATCCAGTTACCAGACATCTTGTTCAAGAACTTTGGCTACAAAGGAACTGAGATACAGATACAAAGCTGCAGGAGAGAAATAGGGAAAGTCAAGATTTGTTCCTTTTTTGTGGATTTTGTTTGTTTTACAGAGCTTTATCTTAAGCATATTAAATGGTGATCGGACACAACCTAAAAAAAAGGGATGAAGTAAAAGAAAAGGTAAGAAGAAATAATAGGCCGGGCGCGGTGACTCACGCCTATAATCCTAGCACTCTGGGAGGCCAAGGCAGGAGGATCGCTCAAGGTCAGGAGTTTGAAACCAGCCTGAGCAAGAGTGAGACCCTGTCTCTACTAAAAATAGAAAGAAATTAATTGGCCAACTAATATATATATAGAAAAAAATTAGCCGGGCATGGTGGCGCATGCCTATAGTCCCAGCGACTTGGGAGACTGAGACAGGAGGATTGCTTGAGTCCAGGAGAATGAGGTTGCTGTGAGCTAGGCTGATGCCTTGGCACTCACTCTAGCCTGGGCAACAAAGTGAGACTCTGTCTCAAAATAAATAAATAAATTAATAAAATAAGACAAAAGAGGTGGGGCCTTTAGGAAGTAATTAGGTTATGGGGTTCCCCCCCCCCCATGAACGGGACTTAAAGAGGCGGGGAGGGGGGCTTATTTGCCCCTTCTACCATGCAAGGACACATAGTATACTATTAAATGTTGTTTTTTTTAATTTCAGCATATTATAGGGGTACAAATGTTAAGGTTATGTATATTGCCTTCCTCTCCCTCCCCCCTAAATAGGTTTTAATATTCACAGAGTTGTGCAACCATCACCTAGAACATTTTCATCACCTCAAAAACAAACCCTCAGTCCCTTAGCTATCAGCTCCCAAGTCTCCCAGATTCTCCAGCCCTAAAAAGCCATCAAACTACTTTCTGTCTCTATACATTTGCCCACTGTGGACATTTCATATAAATAGAATCACATAATACATGGAATTTTGTGACTGGCTTCTTTCACTTAGCATGTTTTTAAGGTTCATTCACATGTTGTAGCATATATCAGTACTTCATTCCTTTTTATAGCCATAATATTCCATTATATGGACCACATTTCATTTACCCATTCATTAGTTGATGGACATTTGAGTTGTTTCCACTTACTATTATGAATAATGCTTCTGTGAACATTGATGTATAAACTTTTGTGTAGTATAATTTTTATAAGAAATGTGAATTTTCATAAAGCTAAATTTATCCAACACAAAGCACTTTATTCTGAAACAATGTCCTCCAAACTTTTTTTTTATGTTAAAATATCCTGTTAAAACAGCCAGGTGTGGTGGCTCACACCTGTAATCCCAGTACTTTGGGAGATCGAGGTAAGAAGACAACTTAAGGCCAGGAGTTCAAGACTAGCCTGGGCAACACAGTGAGACCCTACCTCAACAAAAATTTGTAAAAATTAGCCAAGCACAATGGCTAGCACTTGTAATCCCAGCTAATTGGAAGGCTGAGGCAGGAGGATTGCTTGAGCTAAGGAGTTCAAGGCTGCAGTGAGCTATGCACATGCCGCTGAGATCCAGCCTACATGACAGAGCAAGACCTTGTCTCAAAAAATAAATCCTCTTTAAATGAAATGATGGCAATATCAAAAGGTAGTTTTATTAACGTACTTATTAGGTAAATATTTTTTTTAATTTTGCTTTTCTGTTAAATCTAAAAGTCTAAAAAACAATGATTGAAAGAAATACAATGGCTGGGCTGTGGTGGCTCACGCCTGTAATCCTAGCACTCTGGGAGGCCGAGGCTGGCGGATTGCTTGAGGTCAGGAGTTCAAAAGGTCAGGAGTTTCAGCCTGAGCAAGATCGAGACCCCGTCTCCACTATAAATAGAAATAAATTAATTGGCCAACTAATATACATAGAAAAAAAAATTAGCCAGGCATGGTGGCATATGCCTGTAGTCCCAGCTACTTGGGAGGTTGATGCAGGAGGATTGCTTGAGTCCATGAGATTGAGGTTGCTATGAGCTAGGCTGACGCCATGGCACTCACTCTAGCCTGGGCAACAAAGTGAGACTCTGTCTCAATCAATCAATCAATCAATAAATAAATAAAGAAAAAAAGAAATACAAGACAGTTTCTACGAAAAACTAGGTTGGTTCCCCTCTCTGTACCACCCCCCCCAGTAGGTAGCATATATTGTAAACAGTAAGAGATGAGATACATAGGCCAAAAGGTAGATCTTGAAAGCCAGGCTAAGAAATTTGGGCATTATCCTATGGTCAACAAGGAGATTAACAAAGCTGTTTAAATATAAAATTACTGACTCTAAGATACCACTTCATAAAACAAACAGTAACTGAGCTATGCTATACAAAAAGCACTGAATGTGGTGCTCAGTTGCTTGAATGATTTAAAAAAAATTTTGCCTCTGACACTACTGAAACCACTCTTCACGAGATTACAAATGACCTCAAATTGGTAAATCCAATTTTTAATTTTCAGTTCTCATCTTACTTGACCTATCAGCAGCATTTCACATAGGTAAAGCACTCTTTCCTCCTTGAAATACTTTCTTCCAAGACACCATACTCTTCTGGGTTTTCTTCTTACTTTACTAGCAGCTCCTTCACAGCCTCCTATGCTGGTTCTTCCACAGCTCCACAGTTTCTAAACATTAAAAATAGTCAAGGTTCTGTCCTTAGACTACCTCTCTTTTCTATCTACACTCATTTTCTTAATGATCTCAGTCTCATGGCTTCACTAGAATGTAGCTTCAACAGGGTGAGGATTTGGGGTTATTTTGTTTATGTTGAGTCCCCTACACCTAAAGTAGTGCCTGGCATTAGTAGATGCTTAACAAATATTTGTTCAATAAATGGATGAATAAATGGCTTTATATATTATCTATAAACTAGTAACTCTCAAATTTATGCTTCCTGCCTGGATTTCTGTCCTGACCTCCAGATATATCCAAATGCCTATTGGCTATCTCCACTTGAGTGTTAAAAAAAACCTCAAACAAAAGAGAACCCCAATCACCCTCCCAATGGCCTCTCCAACTGACTTCACTTCCTTTGCAAAGTGCAGTTCCATCCTCCTAGTACCTGAAGCCAAAAATTCTGAAATCATTCCTAACTTTTCTTTCTCTCACACTACATATCCAATCTGCCAACAGATACTGTGTATTCTGCCGTTAGAATACAACCAGCATATGACTACTTCTCATCACTTCCACCATTTTCTTCTCTCACCTGGATGAATCAATAGCCTCTTAACTGGTCTTCCCGCTGCTTGTCCAGCTCCACTCCCCAATTCAGTTTGTTTTCAGAACCACAACCAGAAAAATCTTTTTCAAACATACGTCAGATTACATCACTTCTCTGCTCAAAATCCTTCAATTATTCCCACTTGAATCTGAGTAAAAGCCCAAACCTTGATAACTGCTTATAAAGCACTATCCAGTCTGGCTCTATGACAACTCTGACCTCATCATTTACTACTCTTCCCTCACTTATTCTGCTCCAGTCATACATACGTGCTTCCTCTGCTGTTCCTTCCAAAGGTCAAGCAAATTTCTACCCAGGGCCTTTTCCCATACTATTATTCCCTTTGCCAGGAATGCTCTTCCACTAGATATCTGCATCCCATCACCTCAAGTATGCTCAACTGCCACCTTCTCTGTGACTTTTCCCTGGTCATATTTAAAGCTGCAACACCCCAGCCCTACCCTTGTAATCCTTATCCCTTTTCTCTATTTTTCTCCACAGCACTTATCACCACCCAAAGTACTTTATATTATAGTTTCTGCTTGAAGAGGATAAGACTTTTTGTCTGTTTCATTCACTGCTAAATCAGTGCCTGGAACATAGTAAGTGATCAACAATCTATCTGCTGAGCTAGTGCTTTCATTTTCCACCGGGGGAGCCTAACAATCATCTAGCCTGGTATTTCAGGAAATGTTCATAAAGTGTTTCTGAAATTTCTTCCAGCGTTCTGATCCCTAGAAGGATTATACTTTGCCTAGAAAGAAAAACTGTGCTTTGTCTAACCAACCACAAGGAGGAGTTTAGAGGAAGAACTGAGCAAAGAGAAACCAGATAATGCTGTTTCCCTTGCTTTTCCCACAGTAACCTCAAGGTGGAAGAAAACTGGATTCGGAGCCAAATGTACTGAATGAATGATTTTCCTCCATACTATGAGTTACCTAGGCACACACGAACGTAAACATTAAAGACCACAATTTTTCGAATGCCACAAAGAGGCCAAGGGAACCTGTCCACAGGCCACTAAGGACTGGAAGGGTGTTTCTTTAACTCCACCACTAAAAATTCTCCACAAATTCAAGGGAAGAGTTCACATTACTGCAGAGAGACACGTTAAGTCGCCGATAAAGGCCAATGTGTTCCAGGTCGTGAGTACTCTCTGGCCAGAGAACTATTAAGTCAATTCTACGTAATACTCAAAGCACCTGCCATTCTTAAACGGTATAAGCAAGGCAGTGTGAGGTCTAAATTCTCAGATTTGGCTGATCGAATATAATTCATTAACACCTGATTCATTAAACACCAAAATCAATTCCCCCAAGGGCTTTTAACTCACCGCCACCTGTTGATGCCCACATTGGAGGAGCCGGCAAACCAGGGGTCAAGGATGTAGACGCAGCGGATGGTGTCGGCGCCCTGAATGCACTCCTTCAGGGCGGGGTTGTCGTGGAGTCGGAGCCCCTTTCGGAACCAGTGCACAGCGTTCACCCCCATGCCCGGGGCGCGGCGGGTCACCCCCGACTTCCTCCACCGAGAAATTCAAGGAAGGAGGGTCCGGCTCATAACCGATGCCTTCGTTTCCAGGAGAATCGCCTCACCCAAGGAGTGAGGAAAGGGCGGCAGAGGGGGGACAGGAAAAAATGAATCCGAGGAGGGGACCGGAGAAGGCGGGGGCGCTGGAGGCGCAGTTGGAAGATGAATGGAGGTTGCCCAGTCGGCGGAGTCCGGGTGTGACGCCCTTTAGGAGCCGGCGCCTGCCGCAACCGCCTGCAGGCGACGCATAACTTCCAGGGCCTCGGACCGCCGGAGCCAGAGCAAGTTCCAGGCGCTTGAGCCGCCACGACGGCCCGAGCGGGCACCGACAGCCCCAGGAGGTTCGTCACGGAAACCTCGCCCCACCGAGGCGGCCCCTGAGGACAAAACGGCCCGCCGGAGGTGAGTCACTGAGAGGAACAGTCAGGATTCAGCCCCTGTCGACGACGCTGTCTCTCGGCCAGGGAGAGACGACCGAGGAGAGAGGAGGAAGGCGGTGGTCGAGGCCGCTGGACGGTCGCCGGCCGGTCACCGGTCCCGAAGCTGCCCGGGTGACTCCGCCGCCGCCGCCGCGTCAGCGGCCTCGGCCCCGCCCCCGGCTTCTCACTGGATGACGCTCGCCCCACGTGACCACCGGCACCTCACGTTTCTGAAGTGTGTTTACTACACTGGCTGAGACTGGGCGATCTGCTCGCGCCTCAGTCGCTTCTGGAGGAGTTGCAGCCACCGGATCTCAGAACTGTCGCTCCTCGCCCAAACGCCAGGCTCCCTGCCTCTGCCCCTTTCCTCTGCCGACTGGTCGCGGTCCCTAGAGACGTCCGCGGAGATCCCAGGCCCCTAGTGAGGGAAGGCTTAGCCCCGCCCCCGGGGGCCACGAGTAGCCGCCATTGGCTGAGGCTCGCTGAGACCCGGATGAGCACGGGGATGCGGGGAGCTCGCGGGCGCGCGCTCTGCTCAGGAAGGTGCGCGTGCGCCCTCGCGTTCCAGAGGGAAAGGGAGCGGTGCCGCGGGTGGGAGCGCGCTCAGGGGTTCCTCCTATGGTATCTGGGGAAGGCCTGGAGACTGTCCGGTGTCCTTCCAGAGTCAGCATTGGAGCTGGGCGGGGAATTGGGGGGGAGGGAGGGACGGAAGAGGCTCCACTTACATTTAAAGCCCAAACCATGTGCTTCAAAAGGGCTTCGGCCAGAGAACCCTACTTTGGAATGTGGGGAGCTGGCGCCCCTACCATTCTGCTGGCCCTTCGGTGCCACATCCTTGTACATGCTCTGAGGAAGTGTAGTAATTGGCAGGACAGGTGCCGGGCTTTCCTGCACTTGTGCAATTTCTTAATACTATGGTTATAGCATCGACGTATCAGCCCTAGTCGCTTACGCTTAGTGTGGTTCTCTTCGTGATTGAGCCTTTGCCTGCCTTTCTGGCAATAATGAACTGCAGGCCATGCTATGCCGTAGACATATGATGCCCTTATATTCACTCAGGTTAATTATTGAATGAACCGGGTACTTGTCAAAGCATTGGAGATACAAGAGATACTTAATAAAATAGACAAAAATCCCAACCCTTGTGGGATTAACAATTTGTCTCTTAACCTTTGTGCTATTTTTTTCCTCCATAAAATCCTCTTGCTTGAAATCCGCTACTGGCTACAACCACCTTTGAGCTACCACACACCCCTTTGACTTAGATAAACTCTCTAAGTATGTCTCTGTTAAATCACTTACCACATTATTGTGAAGATTAAAGTGCCTATTCTAATACCTAGCAATACCTGTTCAATAATAGTACTTATTATCATAACAATGTGTCTCTGATTCCTTCCAAAATGGGAACTTCTCAAGGACAGGGTCTCTGTTCAGTTCACTGTTTTGGGGGTTTTTTTTGTTTTGTTTGTTCATTTGGTTGGTTTTGGTTTTGGGTTGTTTTGTTTTGTTTTGTTTTGTTTTTTGAGAGAGGATCTTGCTCTCTCTCCCAGGCTAGAGTACAGAGGTGTCATCATAACTCACTGCAACCTCAAACTCTTGGGCTCCAGCAATCCTGCCTCAGCCTCCTGAGTAGTTGGGACTGCAGATGTGCATCATCACACCTGGCTAATTTTTGTACTTTTTGTAGAAATGGGGTCTCACTCAGGCTGGTCTCAAACTCCTGGCCTCAAATGACCCTCCCATCATGGCCTCCCAAAGTGCTAGGATTACAGGTATGAGCCACTGCGCCTGGCCTCAGTTCACTTTTTGCATCATCAACACCCAGAGCAGAGCCTGACATGCATTCAAATGTTTGTTGAATGAATGAGTGCTGTTGGCCAAAAGTGTGTTTTGGCAAGGTTAAAAGGAAGAAGGAAATAGCAATTGTTATGAGTTGAATTGTGTCTCCCCCAAATTCATATAACCCTCAGTACCTGTGAATGTGACCTTATTTGGAAATAAAGTCTTTGCAGATGATTAAGATGAGGTCATTAGGATGGGCCCTAACCCGATGTGACTGGTGTCCTTATATAAAGAAGAAATTTGGACACAGAAACTGATACACATATAGGGAGAACATCATGTGAAGATTGGAGTTATGCTGCCACAAGCTAGGGAACTACCAGAAGCTAAAAGAGAAGCCTGGAACAGATCCTCCTTAGTAGCTTCAGAAGGAGTATAGCACTGCTGACACCTAGATTTTGGACCTCTTGTCTCTAGAACTGTGAGACAATAAATTCTTGTTCTAAGCTACCCAATTTGTGGTACTTTGTTACAGCAGCCCTAGCAAACTAATAGCAGTAGAGTAAATTCAAGAGTTTAGGGAGCCAATATGTCTGAATAGTCTTCCCTACCTCTGTTTCTGTTGCCACAGAAAGTATACATCCTTTCTTTGGTTTCTCTAGAAACAGTTAAAAATTTCTATGTGAATGGCTGGGTGTGGTGGCTTATACCTGTAATCCCAGGACTTTGGGAAGCCGAGGTGGGAGGATTGTTTGAGGGCAGTAGTTCAAGATCATCCTGGGCAACATAGTAAGACACCATCTCTAAAAAAAAAGAAAAAAAATTTAATTAGCCAAACATCGTGGCAAGCTCCTTTGGTCCTAGCTACTAGGGAAGCAGAGGCAGGAGAATTCCATGAGCCCAGGAGTTGGAGGCTGCAGTGAGCTATGATCATGCCACTGTACTCCAGCCTAGGCAGCAGAGTGAGACTCCATGTCTTAAATAAATAAGAAAACCCTTTGTTCACTATAAAGTATTAAACAAATACTGGTCATTTTTATTGATGGGGATGAGCTTTGGGTAATCACCACTCTGAGCCTCTCATCACCTGTGCAGAAAACGTGGCATGCAGAGGTATGCCCTCACTTGGATTGCCTCATGTTCCAGGGCATATTATTGTACTTTTAAAGCTACAATGTTTTATGTTTCATTTTAGGTGGTTTGAAATGTGTCTAAAGACTTAAGAATTGTTTCCAAGCATTCAAATGAAACGGTAGGAGGTGGAGAGAATATTGATTGGTATTGAGTTGACTTCTGTTTCTAGATCGTTCATTCAATAAAGATGGATTTTTTTTAACAGACAGCTGTGTGTAGGTGTGTGTGTAACTTTCATTTAAACATAAAAGTACTTATTATAAAAGTGTCAGTACTAGCAACTGTGCTTTCCTCAAACACTGAAGGATTTTTATGGCACATAGATGGTTACTTTAATATATCCGGAATTTTGGGGGGAATCACAATTTAATACCAGCTATCATTTCTTGAGTGCCTACTATGTGCCATGTGCTTTATAGATTATTAAACCTTGTAATAATCTTATGATACAGTTTTTTATTATTTAATAATCTATGCCCACTTTGCTGAGGAACAGATACAAATAAGTAGTAAAACCAGATGAAAAACCAAGACTGTTTCTGAATCCAAAACTCTTTCCTTAACGTTTACTATCCCTCATGGACACACACACCCCTATTTTCAGAGCCAATATTATGTATGAAGGGGGAAAGAAAGAGTGGAGAGGATTGTCAGGAATCATTTGTGAAATTCTGGTTGCCACCAACATTATGGTGGTAGTAGAAAGAGTGCAGGACTAAGAGGAAGAGACGGCTTTGTATCTCAGCTTGCTGTTGATTAGCTGATGATCTTGAACAAGTCACCTGGGCTTTCTTGGCTTGCTAAGTCATCTATAAAATGAAGGGATTGAACTAGATGATTTCTAAGTTTTCGATGCTATTTTAAAATTTTATGAACACAATTCTGCCATGGGTTCAAAACTATTTAAGAAGAATGATGTTAAACATTCTTTTAACTGCCATCAATGTTAGAAAAATCAGTATCTCCTTGATTTCTTGAGCACTCTCGATAAAAGAGTATCAGCCTCTCTTGACTCCGAGTTGCAGAGGTGATTTTTGGCATGTGTTATCAACACACAAATAATGAAGGAGTAGACAGTCTGATCAGCTCATTCAGTCTTGACATGACAGAAATGTTGACTGAGTGCCCCCTACACTGGAGTCTTTGAGGGACTGAATTTAAATGTGTTAAAGGATAATTATTTTTTTAAATGTAAATTATGATTCTTACACCAATGTAATATGAACACATATCAAAAATTTTACTTAAGGCTGGGCGAGCTGGCTCACACCTGTAATCCTAGAACTTTGGGAGGCCAAGGCAGGAGGACTGCTTGAGCCCAGGAGTTCGAGAACAGCCTGAGCAAGAGCAAGACCCCCATCCCTATAAAACCTAGAAAAACTAGCCAGCTGTGGTGGCACACGCCTGTAGTCCCAGCTCCTCGGGAGGCTGAAGCAGAAGGATTGCCTGAGCCCAGGAGTTGGAGGCTGCAGTGAACTATGATGACACCATTGCACTCTAACAAGGGCAACAAAGCAAGACCCTGTCTCAAAAAGAAAAAAAATTTTTTTCACTTAACTCATTAATTGATGAGGGAATCTTTAAGATGTTACAATGGATTAAAAGAAGAATGCAAATATCAGTTACATAATAGTTCATCGGGAATGTTAAAATGAATTTGCTTAATATATGCGAAACTGGCTTCTTCCACAGATGGATGGAGAGAGAGAGATCAATTGCACTTTCACAGGACAAAGTTCATTTGCGTGTCCACAGACAAAATTCATTTACACTGGTATCAATTAACTGCAATTTACAGAATTCCAAAATAGCTCAAATATAGCAAAAATAGCTAAAACAATAGGGAGAGAATAACTTGAAAGGTGTACTCATCAAGAGACTCAGTAATCTTTTTTGCCCATTTCAAAATCATGCACAATTTTGCCACTTCTTTAGAGAGGTTCTCCATGCCTGCCCATTCCAAACAATACCCCCCTTCTTATTCTTTATCACAGTTCCCCATTTACTTTCATCATGGCACCAATTCTGATCTGTAAGGTTTTTGTTTGCTTATTTATTGAAGTCAATCTATGCCTTTCCCCACCCCAAATGCAAGCTCCAGGAGGATAGAGTATTCTTTATTGTATCAGTACTTCCTGCCACAGTGCCTGGTACTCAACTCTCAATAAACTCTTCTTCTAGAGACCCTGGTAATAGCCAACTGATCACAGTTGACATTGTACTTCTTCCACCATCAGTTATCAGTTTATTGCCTCTCAGCTCCACATTCACCTTTGATTGCCTCTTCTGTGTTAATGGAACTAGACTGTCAAGATTTCATCTTTACCATTGGCATGATGTTAAACATTGTCAGTAGGGGGGGGTTGGAGGGAAACTGCAGGAGGGAAGAGGCGTCTTTTCCTAGTTCTCTAGTTCTGTTATCTGCTTGTGTTTTCTTTTTCTTATTCCCATTCCACTGCCAATAGAGGCACTTGGCGGAGGGCTATGCAGTGGCACTCACTTCTATCAGGTCTCACTGGCATCCCTTCTGCTAGATTCCGGTGAGTCTTGCAGGCAAACCAGCAGTTGGCTACCCAGCCTCAGCACACCTGCGTTCAGGGACAGCATTTCCTAGGGCCACTTCCAGCCATGGTTTTCCATGCCCACCAGCCTTCTCCTGCTCTGGCCCCGGGCAACCCAGCCAACTTCTTCATCACCAGTGGCTACAACCACACCTCCAATGAGGCCTGAATCATTGGCCTAGGAGAGGAGCCCCTGCAATCCCCCTTCCAACTCTGTCTCTACCTAGGTACTCTCCCTCAGCCCTGGGGTATTTTTAGAGATCCCTTTACTCCTTTTTAATTAATCACCTGTTATCATTAATAATTCTTTCTATTAAATATTTTCTTTTTAATTTACTGTGTGGTTTCTGTCTCCTGATTGGGCACTGGCTAATATAGTCCATCACCTGAGCCAGTCCACAAGGATGTGCTTATGAACAGTTGCTTGTCCTTACCCTTTTTCTTTACCAAGTGCATTTAGAAAGTGTAAATATTTACAAATGTGGCAATATGATGTTGTGAAATAATAGCCAATGTTTTTTCCCCTGCAGATCTTTTTTTATCCTTTGACCGTCCCCATGCAGGTCATTGGGTGTGAATCCTGTTATCTCAGAGGGGCAGAACTAGAGGACAAAGGTAGTCCCACATTTTTGTCCTAAATTCACAAGCCTTGGCCCAGGCATAAATCACGAAAGATTTGCTGCTTCCCACTGTTTCTCCCAACACTGTATAAAAATTCTTCAAGCTGAGGTGGGATATTAGTACAAGGAAAATAAGAAAAAGTATCTATCTTAACTATAATAAGAAGATAATATCTTACCCTTGTCTAGGATTAGCTCCAGATAGCTAGATAAGGTTTAGGGAGATCTGAGGGTAGAAGAGACTCGTGCCAACTTCCCATCTGAAATCGGAAGGCTGGGTCTCATGGAAGTCCCATGCCACTTTGCTGTGGCACAGCGCAAAAGCCTGCATGGGATGCTACTGGACAGAGCAGGGCTAGGCAGCCCCGCCAAGCCCCTTGCCGGCTAAGAAAACAGCTAGATTTTCCTAAATTTCCTCTCTTCTTTAGAGGCCTGGGAAGGTTAGCTGAAAGAGAAAACTAGCTAAGCAAGCAAGGGGTTATGTCAGGAGGACAGTGTAGTACAAAGTGTCACAAGAGGTTGTGGCCAAAGACCAGATGCCAGCCTGGAGAGATAACAACACTTGAGAACCAGATAGAATGATACCAACACCCTTCCTTTGCAAAGATGTGGATGTGGTGTTCTTTAAGCATCTGGGAATCCAGATGCTACCCTGAAGGGAAGCAAGAGAAAGGAGGTATTTTTCAGAATTGATTGAATTTAACCTTGAAATGACAGAAAAATCCTGAAATGACTGAGAAGACCTGGAATTGACTAGCCCAGTTCTCAGCCAGTGAGCAGACTGAGACTTTCAGATATAAATTAAATTTAGCTATAGAAAAATGAAGATAGTTACTCTTGGACTCTGATCTATGGATTGAAAAATACAGTATTTGCTATAAAATCCAGCCAAATATCATAGAAACTTCAAAGACATACACAAGCTATCTGGCCCTGGGAGCTGGCCTGCCTCCTCTTCCTCCCCACCTCCTGTCCATCTCTCTGACTTCTACTCTACCCCTCGCCTTGCTCATGCCTTGCTGTTCCTCAAGCCAGCCAGGAGTGCTCCCAATTCAGAGACTTTGCACTTGCGACTTCCTCTGCCTGGAATGTTCCTTCCCAAGATGTCCTCATGGCTCCCTCCTGTAATTGCCTTCAGGTGTTAGCACCAGTGTCACCTTCCCTGTCCACTGTATCTACACCTCATCATTCTCTAATTCCTTTATCCCCTCAATTTTTCTTCATCACACTTGTCAGTACCTGACATTATGTTACAAATGTATTTATTTGATTACCTATGTGTCTCCCCACTAGAATAAGCCCCGCAATATGAATGAATGAAAGTGAATGAATGAAAAAACTACAAATAGTATGCAAGATCAGCTGAATCCTTAATGCAGACCTACTATATTAGGCACTTTGCTGAGTACTATAGCTACATTATTTTATTTAATTTTCATAACAGCCATATGAGATATTCTTCTGGCAGGTGTGAACAGCTCTTGGCCGAAGAAAAACCCGAGCAGCACACAGGGAGTTGGAGAGGCAGCTTTATTTCACCGGGCTCAGAGAGGCATATCTGCCACCAAACTCTGAGCGCCCCTTTTTCGTTTTCTTTTAGTTTTATACCTTTTGGGGGGTTACGGTTAGCCAATGGCAAGTTTTCACAAAAGTCACCTCGTTTACATAGTAGTCAGCCAATCAGAAGTATGTCCCAAAAGTTACTTCATCTACATGGTCGTCAACCAATCAGAAGTATAACCCAAAAGTTACTTCATTTACATGGTAGTCAACCAATCAGAAGTATGACCCCAAATTACCTCATCAGCTGTGAGTATTAGTAACTGCTCAATTTAGGAGCGGGATAAATGAAACAGGTGGGTTTTGGTGGAACACCCTGACAATATTACTATTCCCATTTTATAGATGAGAAAACTGAGGCTCAGGGTAGTTGAATTCTCATAACTTGTCCTGGAAAGTAGAAGAGGCAGGAAACAAAGCCAGGGTCTCCCAACTCCAGAAGCTGTGGACTGTCCAGCACATTCTACTGCCTCCACCACACTGGCATCTAGGTGTTTTTATACAGGTGCAAATGAGGGACCCATTTATCAAGGCCTAGGGGAAGACAGAGAAATTCTGATTAAGGCATACCTGGGAAGGCTTTTGTAGAAAGTAGCACTTATATTAGGCAAATAATAATAATATTTTTTTTAAAGGAACAAAGAAAAGGATTTTAAAGGAGTTGATGGTTGAGCAACATATGGCAATAGATTTGTTAAAAATGTTTGTGTGGTGAAGAGTGTAATGTATAAGAAATAGTTACCATGTATCGTGTATAAATTGAAAATCTAGTGAACAGTGACAGAAACCTGGAGGGGTATTTGTTATAACTGGAACATCAACACAGCCTGTTGGTAGGAAGGAGAGAAGTAATGGGAAGAAAGAACAGATAATTGGCACTCAATTGTGCTACATATCACTGAGAGCTATCAAGTGCTTCTAAAGTGCTCAACTCCATGAAACTTCAGTATTCCGCGAGGAAGGCACCAGCCACTCTAGGGGTAGTTGTATTGAAATGGTAGCAGTTGGAGAGCGGCCAGGGTAGAGAGGTGGATTTAGGAGTTGCTTCATATATTAACTGAAGCCACAAAGAACTGCTAGGAGCTCTTTAAAGAAAAACACATATAAATGACAAGTATTATGAGCTCAAGGCAGAGGAAGAAAAACAACCTTTCCGCCTTCAAGCTAGATTTTAGATTTTTAAGTAACAATAGGTAGCAGATAAGACTAAGTAGCAAGTTAGAAAAGGCGAGGTACATACGAATGCTGTTTGTGAGAACATAAAAACAAATTCATACAGAACATAAAAACAAATTCATACAAAAAGTTTAGACTGGAGAAATTTCAAAAAAGAATATTAAAGATTAACACTCACCTAATGTTGCATCAATGCTAGGCTAATAGGAATGTTACACTTATTTTGATCTTCTAACCAAATCAATAGTAACCTTTCCATTTCAATAATTAATCCACTACACTGCTTAGTAACGATTGATGCTTTCACTGCAGCTGCCTTTCTCATGTTCCATTATTCTCACTTTGTCCTTTGTAATTGTTCTGATAGCGGAGCCTAATGCTTTTCCAATGAATGATGGCATCTGCCCTTTCTCCAAATGCTTATTTCAACTTTCATTTCCATTGTAATCACCTTTCTCTTCACTGCAGGCTCACCTGGACTTGCCATGGACTTTCGCTTTGGAGACTTGGTCAGAGGGTCAACACAGATGCAGAAAATGGAATTAAAAGTTAGGATGAAAGTGATGCTGTGCGTAAGCGGCTAGCTGAAGCTGCTGCGTCAACAAACCGCTGACGCCATGTGGGTTTGTTTACATGTGCAGGAGAAACTAGTTCCCGAATTATTAATATTAATTTAATTATTTAATGATAAATTATCCTTATGGGGAGCCTTGGGAGCCCATTTGTAAGTACAGAATGCCATAAATCTGGTTGTTCATAACCCCGGACTGCCTGTACTGTATCCTCCATGGCTTGCTGTGTTCAGGTGTGTGCATTTACTTTGTCATTCAGCTTTTGGGACCTAAAGGAACAAAACATTAAAGTATTGTTAAGACTGTGTATGAATAATCACAGCTTTTGCCTTTCATTGACATCACTCCTGTATTAACCAATCATTGATAAGCTAATTTGCATAATAGAAACACCTATTGTAGTCAAAGAGCTTCATTTTCATAAGTCATTTTCCTTCCCCAGCACTCAAGGGATCCTGACCTACTGAGCATTCTGCATCCAATCCCCACCAATCCCCCCACCCTCACATTTCCTCCAGTCTTTGCTGCTTAATTCCACCTTAGGCAAGCTCTTTATCATTCTTATTTAGCTGATATGAATCTCAGTACCCAAATCCAGATGTAGAGGAAAATTATTTTCTACAAATCAACTTAATTTCTCAAGTTGTTGCTGCCCAACCGGGTTATACTGCCCATTGTACAGAGAAGAACAATATACTGAAGCAGTCAGGGTTGCAATGGAGAAAGGTTTGATTCTGCAGAGCGCTAATTGGGGAGATGGGAGGAATTTCTCAAATCTGCCTCCCTGACAATTTGGGAGATGGGGGTTTTTAAAGATAGTTTGGCAGGCAAAGAATTAGGCAATTAGGTTTGCTAATTGGTTAGGTTTGGTGCAAAATTATAGGGGTGCAGAAAAAATCTTCTGTAGAGTCAGTTCCTGGGTTGGGGTCACAATTCCAGTTGAGTCAGTTTCTTTGTATGGGCCACTGGTCTGGGTGGGTCAGCCAATCCATTGGAATGCAGGGTCTGGCAGATATCTCAGAAACTACCTTTACGTTTTTTTGTGGGTTTTTTTGAGACAGAGTCTCACTCTGTTGCCTGGGCTAGAGTGCCGTGGCGTCAGCCCAGCTCACAGCAACCTCAAACTCCTGAGCTCAGGCAATCCTCCTGCCTCAGCCTCACGATTATCTGGTACTACAGGTAGCTGGGACTACAGGCATGCACCTGTATTTTTTCTCTCTATATATTTTAGTTGTCCAGCTAATTTTCTTTCAATTTATAGTAGAGATGGGGGGTCTCGCTCTTGCTCAGGCTGGACTCGAACTCCTGAGCTGAAATGATCTACCCATCTCAGCCTCCCAGAGTGCTAGGATTACAGGCCTGAGCCACTGCACCCGCCATACCTTTAGGTTTTAAAAAAGTGATGTTATTCAAGGAGAAAGTTAAGAGTCTTTATGACTACCAGCTATGTGACCCAAGAGTAGCAATTATAGAGAAGCAAATGAGGGACAGTGGCTGGTTATTATTATTTTTAGGTAGGCCTGTGCCTTCGCAGAGTTTTAGGCTTTTACCACAGTTCTGGCCTTGTATCCCTTTCTTGACTGGTAAAGGGTGGTTTCAATGCCATGCCCCTATGCTGCCAAGTTGGCAGGAAATTGACTCCAGGCATTCTTGGGGTTACCCTCTTACTTCCTAGGAGTCATGAGGTTATACAGCCTCATGCAGTGCCCACATTTGGGGACCCTCTGTCTGTTCCTACTGGCCTATGCAGAGTTGGCCATTGTCTCTCCCACATGGTCCTTTCAGATCTGAGTGCTGTGGGCTGATTTTGTGTTACTTACGGAATGATGATTTGTCCTGTTTTGTTTTGTTCTTGCAGCTGGGATCTTCCCTGCCCCTGGCCATGTTGCTGCTTCCCTGAAGGCCACCACCTTGGCTCACTGAAGCTTTGCCATTTCCTTGGGGCACTGCCACCAAGAGGAGTGTGGGACCCCCTGCTCCTCCCCCATTGCTGGGGGCAGCTCTTCTTAATCCCTGGTAATCTGAACACCACTTCCTGGTTCTCTGAGATGCATTACTTCAGCCTTCACATCCTAACCTCTCTCCATCAGTTAAGAATCTTGGTTGTAAGCCACAGAAAATATGGCTCAAACTGACTTAAAAGAAAATATATTGGCTCAAATGACTGAAAACCTAGAAGCAGTGCTTATTTCAGGTTGGGATTGTCGACGGAAAAAAAAAGCCAAGTCTGCAAAATAATTTTAAAAGAGATTTATTCTGAGCCAAATTTGAGGACCATGACCCGGAGCCACTGCCAAGAGGCCTTGGGCAAATGGACTCGCTGTGGCTGGGTTAACAGTTTTTGGCGTTTTTAATACATTTTTTAGAGACAAGGTTTATGGGTATTAAGGCCATCAATCAATTGTTGGGAGGTATAACATTGTTTGGGCGGGCAAAAAAGGAAGGGCCATCTTGTGAAAGGGCGGGGGCTTAAGCGGTTTATAGGTGGGTGTTTAAAGATTCTTGTTAGATTGTAAATGGCTAAAGGACATGAAGCTTTGTCTAAAGAGGTGGACTGTTTTAACATGGACTCGTTTACCAGGAGGTTAAGCGCACCATTTTGTTGCAAATAGAAGCGCGCAGGTTTGTCTTCCGATACCTCAGGCCCTGTTAATGGGTTTTACAAAGGAAGTCTCCAAGAAGTGAGGCGGGGCATGATAACGCCTGTCTGACCCACTCCTCCTGGCAGGCAACTTTGCCGCTTTGAATATCTCTTCTGGCCACGAGGGGGTTCCATTTCAGTCAGCCGGAAAGGGTTAAGAAATTTTATTTTAGTTCACAGGATTTTGATTTTGGCCGCCATCAAAAGGTTTTTATTGCAACTGTATTCTTGTGTTCGAGGCACTTTTCTGAGCACAGTGGGTGAGCAGCCAGATCCTCGCGCCTTCCCTGTGGAGCCAAGAAAAGCTAAGCCCTTCCAAAGCCTTGCCTAACAATTGCATATTTCATGACAAGATTGAGTGTTGAAACTTAAGAAATAAAATCTTTAACCACTCAGCTGACTGAATGGACCCCTCGTTTGGCCAAAGGCGACCCAGAAATAATACCCTAAAGCTGAGTTGCTTGCCGATGAGAAAGGGAGTCAGACAATCGCCTTGTCATGCCCCCCTACGCTTCTTAGAGATATCCTTTTAATTCATTAAACATGCCTAAAGCTATGCAAGGACAGGCACTTAAAACTGTTACAGCAAGTGTTTAAGCAGGCTGGTTCTGAGGACCAAAACGCGAGTGGCCACATACGAGATTCGGAAGAACAAGGTTTTTTAGTTTTTGAACAGTGGAAACTCAGAAGGGGTTCGCCAGCAAATTCTAGAGACGCATCTACCTGATTTCCCACTTTTATTATTATTGGGGTGGTCTGAAGGGTGTGGGTCTCAGGGTGGCACCCCACCACTAGTGATAGGTTAGTTTGAGTTGTCAAGTATAGGTTAGTGGTTTATGTTGGAGCACCCAGGTAAACAGGTTTTAGCTATTGTGCCAGGTTTAACTAGGCCTTAGTGTTATGCTCGATGAACGAGATAATAAGGTTAGTATTGATGCTGATGCGGTTCTTCCAAGGGGTGGGGATCGCTCAGGTGCGATAATGAGCCAACGTAAACAGATGAGGTTTTCCTTATCAAATCCATACCTGTAGAGGTGCAATCAATTCTGGTGACTCATCTCTGATTAACGGAACTTCCTTAACTTAAAAACATTCCAAGCCTTTTAGAACCAGGGCCGTCCTCAACTTTTTAAACAGGGGACCATGTTCAACTGTCCCTAACCATTGGGAGGGACCGGATATAGTAAACAAAAAAACTAATGACAAATTCCTATGCACAACTGCACATAATCTTGATTTTGAGTAAAAAAACAAAAACACCCGCATGGTGGCCATGGGCCTGTAGTGTAGTTTGAGGACACTTGCTTTAGACAAAGCTTCATTCCTGCCAGGGCAACGTGGCTCACGGCTTGGTAATCCTAGCACTCTGGACGGCCCCGAGGCGTGGGGTGGAGAATTTGCTCAAGGTTCAGGAGTTCAAAACCAGCATTGAGCGAGACCGCCAGTGCTCTACTTATAAAATAGAAGAAATATATATATAACCTAATAATATACTATAATTATATATAAATTAGCCGGGTATGGTGGCACGTGCCTGTAGTCCCAGCTACTCGGGAGGCTGAGGCAGGAGGATCGCTTGAGCCCAGGACTTTGAGGTTGCTGTGAGCTAGGCTGACGCCATGGCACTCATTCTAGTCTAGGCAAGAAAGCGAGACTCTGTCTCAAAAAAAAAGAAAAAGAAAAAAGAAAAAAAGCTTCATTCCCTTAACCAATTACAAATCAAAGAATCTTTAAACCCACCTATAACCTTTAATTCTCTGCTTTGAGATGTTCTGCCTTTTGGGGCCAAACCAATGTATGCCTTCCACATACTGATTTATGACTTTACATGTAATTCCTGTCTGCCTAAAATGTATAAAACCAAACGGTGACCCAACCATAGCAAGACCACTTGCTGAAGGCTTCTTGGGCAAGGCTCTCTGGCCCATGGTCACATATATGAAAGTTCAGAATAAACCTCTTTAAATTATTTTAGAGTTCGGGTTCTTGTCTGCTGACAAGAACATTGGTGATTGTTGCTGTTTTAAGCCACTCAGTTTTGGAGTGGTTTGTTAGGGGAACACCACTTGCGAGAGTAGGGGTGTGGGGATTTTCCCTGTCCCTTCTGGAGGTTGGATGTTTGAGTACAATAAATAAACTGACACCAGATTAACAGGAGGAGAGGCATGCAAATTTATGAATGGGCACATGGACGTGGGAGTCCTGCAATTATGGGACTCCAGGAAGAGCCAGATGTCTGAAGTTTTCATACCATACAGAAAGGAGGCTTGGACTGTGGGAACAGGTTATGGGAGGAAGAAAGGAGGAAAGGCTGTTCTTATGATGCAGGTGAGTCCTCACAGGTAGCAGCCTTCAGAAAGAATAGATGGTAACCCGTGATAAATGGTTCTCTGTGAGACTTCTAACAGTATCCGACTTTTAGTTTCCTTTTCCTGCCAGTTAATCTTTTCTAGATCCTGATAAGGGGACCTCAGAGAAATTCTCTGCATCTGCTGTTTACTTCACTAATGTACATTTCTTCCACAGGTGCAAATCTCCCCCACAAAGGACAGCTTTTCAGACCTACTACTAAGACTCCAGCCCCTTTGAATAGCCATTTTGAAATATGTCAAAGAAGAAGTATAGTTG